GACTTTTTGTTCCAACTGCTAGTTTTCTTATTCTTTCAGGACTGCAGGCAGACATTTACCTTGACATTCGCATCATCACTGCTGTTGTCATTGTGGCTGTGATTGTCTTTGCCTTGATAGGAATGGCTGAGCAGCAGACGGGTAAATGTGAACATTTTCTCAAAACTAAATTTACATTTGAAACTCTAATACTCAAGGATAACACTTCACATTTACTATTATCAATAATATTAGAAACTATTTAAAAAAATATGAATGATAATCCTGAATGATAAATAATTAAAACACTTGTTACTTTTGATCACATTCACAAGTCTGTGTACTTGTTTGTGTTTGTATGCAAAGCTATCACAGCACTTCAGGAAACAGGCTTAACAAGATGTTACAAGTGTTTGAACAGTGTTTGCATATGTTTCAAACCAGTTTTTACTGACTTTTGTGAATATTGTGGAGGTTTTTATGAAAAACTAAAACTTGCAAACTTGCTGTGGGCATTTGAATGCATGTCTTGGTTGTTTAAATGAGAATATCTGGTAACAGCAGCAGTTTTTTGTCTTTGCTTTGAAAGGAACAACTAACCAGCAGCAGCCAGGTAAATGTGAAGATTTTCTCAAACCCAAATTTACAATTTTTTATCCTCATGATAATGATAATATCATTTATTATCGTGAATGATAAATAAGTAACTAAAATGCATGTTATTTTGGATGATACTGACATTTTCTTGTGTGTTTTGTGTACACAGCTATCACTACAAGTCGGGACGCAAGCTTAACAAGATGTTACGATTGTTTGAACAACTTTTGGAATTTTTGCACTACAGTTATCGACTTTTGTAATGGTTGTGGCTTTTATTGTGAAATCCTTCATTTAGTTTCCCAAATATTGTGTTGGACTGATTGCTTGCATTAAAATACCCAGTAACAACAGCTTTTTGACTGCTCCTCTGCTGTGGATTAGGTCTACTGTCACCAGCTTCCATGTGCTCCTCTCTATACTCATTTTTATTCAACTTGTTGTTGACTATTATGTTGTTAGTTAGCATGTATAGTGCTCAGTAATGGTTATTTTCACTTCTTTTTTTCTTTTTTCTATTATAAGAAACCTCAACATGGTTCATATAGCTCCACGTTGTTATATGTATGATCCATATGGTTAATTGTGAA